ACTTGTCGGGATTTTAAACTGTCGGTATTGTGATTTGTCGGGATTTGGTATGTCGGGATTTTACATGTCGGGATTATAATTGTCGGGATTTCGACCCAGACCCAACAACTATTACCTAGTATTTTGTATGTAATATTAAAATTCAATCAAACTAATGAACTATGGACATTTTTAGGGGAAAATATTAATTCTATCAATGAGGTTTTGATAGAAAATGATAACAATTTAGGTAATATATTCAAAATAATATTACAAACTGATTAAAAAACTAGAAAGTATTATGAAATTTTAATTTTAAATTGTTTTAATGTTAAGGTGGATATGTAAATTCTATCTGTGAAAAGTAAAATGTAACAAATAATGAAAAAAGCTTAGGTATGTACCTTTTTATATTTTTTAGATTAAGTTAGGTAACTTTATTTTTTTTTTAATCTACGATTTTCGTCATACCAAATATCGAGTTATGTTTATCTAATTATTATTAATAACTTATAAATCACGTGTTCAATACTTCTATAGGATATTGATAGTTATAAATTGTTTTGTAATTTGTTTTTAACTCACCTACCTATTTTAATGTAAATCCTCAATTTTATCAATTATTAAGTCTTAAATTTGTTCCAATACTTTTGTTTTTAATTTATGTTTTCATATGAATTGTTCGATTTGTAAATAGAAAATTTTAAAAATAAACTAAGATCCTCTATAAGTTAAAAACATCTTGAACGACCAAAGTCATTATATGTAGAAGGAGATATAATCAAATTTATTCGAAAAGATGAAATAATTGATCAATTAGCATCTTCTAGTCAAGAATTGAAGAGATTATTGTTTTAAATAATATTATAATATCATATTTACTATTAAAAAGTATTATTTTTAATTATATTATTTATTTTATTTGATTATTTAATCATACAAATTATTAATTGAATATTAAGTGTACTTATGTATACGGGAAAATATAAAATTTATAAATTTAAAAAACCAATTTTTTTTGTATAAGGGGCCATTGAAAATTTCAGTGACGGGGGGCCAATCATAAGCCACACTGACACTGAATTGTAGGTATTTTGTTAAAATTTAAAAAGATTTGTTGTACTTGTAACTTTTAAAGTGATAGTAAATCTAGTTGGTAATTAAGAGAGGTTAAAATTAAAATTTTGATATTGTAGGGAGAAACAAAAAGAATTAAGGCCAAACCAGTTTTTGACTGAATACATTTTGTTTTTTATATGTTAGGTGAAAACTAATAGTTATTTTTAATATTATTTACATTAAAGTCATTATAAATGTATACAAATCATAACATTTTAAAAATATTTTGAATCTTTTTGAGTTATATATGCATAAGAAGTTTTAAATTTGTATTATGTTTTTTAAATTATTGTCGATCAAAAAAGGTTGGGTGTAAACTCACAATAATTTTTTATGACCATCATTATTACGAATATGTTTGTTGTTTGATTGAACTATATGAAATAATTAATAAACAAAATTATTTCGTCATTGAGTAGGGAACTCGTCCAGCCGCCAGCTACTCAGGATTTCTGACTACTAGTGCTTTTAATTAGTTCACTGAGTTCGAGCCATCAACCAGCTATAACACGCCGTGCACCAACCTGATTAGGCAACCGGGGTTTACTGTAACAATTGCCAGGCTTATACACACCGTCCATATTCTAAGCGCTAGTGGGGCAAAATTTCAGTTCAATTATTATAATGTAGATAGCGCTAAAAATATGGATGTTTGAATTAATTTTTTCACATTTCGATAGCAACAGAAAAGGGGCTAAATATAGGCAATATAATAAACGAAAACAAACAATTTTTTCCTGCCAAGATCCATTTGTAAATTATATTTTAATGTTATCTCATAAACACGAGTGATAACGTCGGGCTCGAATAAAATGACCGCCAGTAGGTAGCTTCAACCAATGACACAGGTGATGTATCGCAGTTAGCAATCTAGTTTATTCTATACATCTGTAATTTTATCATAGTTATAATAGAATTTTAGATCATTATCTATCAAACGTGTGATGTTTGATTGTTATTGTTATTATTTTTTACACGCATGATGCAAAAAATAATAATGACTTATATTAAAAATAATAAAAATTGAAGATTATGTAGAAGCTAATGGTGAAAAATTGTATACAATTAAAAGTTTTTTATGTAATGTATCATTCGACATCTCACAGTGAGAATATGAAAACAAATTCATACTAAGTTGAAAATATAATATCTAAGTATTTTTCTATATGAACGAAGATTTATTAGATAAATTTGAAAGCAAATTAAGTGAAAGAGCATATACATCAAGTGTAGTAAGTTTTTCTCCGATATGAAGAATAACAAAAAAAAATTGAATAAGATTAGTAAATTCTGATTTTACCAACGTGTTGAGCATAAAATAGTGACATTCACATAAAATTGTTTAGGAAATTCGTTACTAAAGTTTAAATGCGTATACCGCTGTACATTTTTTTTAAAAAATCGTTCTTCTTAGCTCAATCCATTAGCACACTTACGTGTATGCCAGGGGGTGCTTAGTACGCTCAAGTCCATTATTAGCACCAACAGATTATTTTGAGTAAGAATATAGTTTAAAGTGTAATTTTGCGTTTTAAAGAAAGAGTTAAGTCCAATTTGTATTGGTAATGCACTAATGCCACTGACATATTATTTCCTGTTTAAACATGTTAAGTATTTTTAAATTAAAAAAAAAAACAAAAATGATGACAGTAGTAAAAATGTAGATGACCCTGATTGCATCCTTTGTTCGTCGAAGAATGTAATTGTCGTTGTATTAATTGGTTATAATATATCGGTCAAAAAAAGATACTTCATTGAAAATCAGGTCACTACTTAGATTTTTTTTTGTAGTCATTTATAATTTTATTTTAAATGTAATTAATTTATGCCTAGTGTATAATCGTGTAGCTGTATTAGGGGCTAGGGGACCAAGTCCCCCACGGGTCACTTTAGGGTAAAACATTTTAGCACTCCTAAGTTAAAGACTGAATGTGGGCCTGTAGCGCTATCTACATTATGATAATTGAACTGAAATTTTGCCCCACTAGCGCTTAGAATATGGACGGTGTGTATAAGCCTGTCAACTGTTACAGTAAGTCCGGTTGCCTAATCAGGTTGGTGCACGGCGTGTTATGGCTGGTTGATGGCTCGAACTCAGTGAACTAAAGCACTAGTAGTCAGAAAGCATGAGTAGCTGGCGGCTGGACGAGTTCCCTACTTAATGACGAAATAATTTTGTTCATTAATTATATTATTATTCACACCACTCGTCTGTTCTTAACAGTTTATACTTTAAGAGTTCTTAAAAATAAAATCTGGTTTTACTGTACCTTTTATTGTCTAACGGTATAAAAGCCGTATAAGACAAGTATTATGGAATAGTTGTAATACACCGATGTCTATATTATATAATTATGTTCTACTCAGTACAGCTTGGTAACTTAAGTTACCTACCTATATATTCTTATAACAAAATAACTTAAAGTTATTTATCGTTAATTTCATAACATTTTATTGCAAGTAACTTATATAGTAATTTAAGTTATTTTTTTAATAAAGTTCATGAAATTACTCAATAGTTTTTTTTTGTATAATAATTTTGTTTAAAACAGAATTCAGACAATTTATTTTAATACATTTTCAGGATATATTGTATGCACTCAGAAAATATCTAAGTTAAGTGACTGTTATTTTGAAAATGCATTATTTTTTAAAATAAAGAGGTACTAAATATTATGTTGTAAAATAAGTATTTATCATTTCATATTATTTATTGGCATTACTTGGTTGTATTATCGTCTTAACAACAGAATATTATTAAGCACCAATGGTTATTTTAAAAGAAAATAAATAACTTTTATAGTAACTGTAGGGCGCTCGAGGTCAAGAATTAAATAATTCAACAATTAATTATTGCACGGCAGCTCGTTTACGCTTTATTGTAAAAAAAAACATCAAAAGCGCACAACAACAAAATAAACATAGGTGCAAGAGACTTAAAGCTTCGCGTCGTGGAACGTCCACACATCGTTATCTTGTCCATGAGCACACACACGCGAAGGGTTCATCGGTTAATACTAATAAGTAATAACTAATGCTACTACTATGAGTACTGTCACTTATTATCACTTATTATCACTTATTATCACTTATTATCACTTATTACTACTTAATGAAGTTATCTTTTAAACTTATGTAATGTAATTTACCAAATACAAAAGGAAGTTAAGAATAATTTAGTTGTAATTTTTAAAGGTAGGCAATTAATTAGTCATGCAATTTAATTACCTGAAAATGTAATATTCGTAACACTTGACTTATACATTGAAAAACTATCTAAATGACTGATATCAACAAATACAATTTAATGACTGAGAGTCCTTCTTACCGTTCCTCAATGAAATGTTTAGAGCAAACACAATTTGTATCGTTGACAATAAAGTTTTTTCTCGGAATAGCTCTCAGCCAATTTTGTAGCAAACCAAGATTTTTGGGGTTGGAAAACTGTGATACATTTTCCTTATTGCTATTGTAGCCTGATATACAACCACCTACACAACACTTTGCCACCATCGCAATAATAATACTATTAAGTCACGAGTTCACTACAAAATAATATTGTCGAAATTCAAAAATTATTTTGTCATGCGTTAAATGTGCTCATGTTATCTTAAGGTGATTATAGTACACTTTGTTGTGTCCTCATCACATCATCACGGTCTACAATAATAAATTGTGGGATACTTGTGGTTCGTACTGTTCGTAGTTCTAGCCGTTTGGACAATTTAACCAATTTTGAGAAAAAATCTTTGGTTTCCCAGTATATACACATTATATAAGCGTAGACTCTGAGACTACTAGCGCCAATAGGTCATCGCGGTCGCCACATAAACCATCAGTCTGTAGTATTAGCATCATAGCGCTGTGCACCAACCTGAGTTGGACATGAACCGAGCCGTAAACCGAACCAGTCGGCAGTCGTCTTTCCGGAACCGTATATCGTGAGAGTCGTCGTCCAGCTACTCTGAATCGGTAGTACCCTACACCAGTTACTACATCAAAAACCAAGCGCACATTATTATATAGGAATACAAATCAAGGTTGTTGTATTTGTACGATACCTGGAACAATAGAAGATATGATGAATGTAAGTACTATATTATTCATTTATAGAAACTTTTATTTCTGTTTCCACGATGAAAATGGTTTGAACACCAAATTCATCTGTTGTGATACCTATTAGTAAATAGACATTTTGTCTTAACAGATTATGGTTAAGCTATTAGTTTTTTTCATCACTCGACCAAATCTGCATCACCGCATTACCGGATTGAATGACGGATTAATTCCCAAGGAGGTTATCGGTCGAAAGAAAATAGGAGGTATTATGTACTTCTTAATGTGGTGGGAGAACAGCCATGAGCTGACATATGTCAAGACTTCTGACGTATGCGAACAGTGTCCACTTCTTGCTATTGTGTATTATGAACGTCAATTCAGAATTCAAGAGTTAAGGTAAAACTAGGTTTTTATACTTCTTATGATTCTTATGATACCACTTATACAATAAAAATATTTTGTTAGTACCTTATAAGTTATTATTAAATATAATAAAGTATATAAGATAATGCTTTAGCTTATATACTATGTACATACAGTGTGATCCATTTAAGACGGTACACAATTAATTAATATTAATCTCTCGCTATCAATAATTTGTAAGAATGGCCCAAATATATTAAACTAGTTGAGTTTCGAATATTTGTTGGAAAGTACCTACTACACATTTCCTTTCAACTTAGACATACCGAGGACTGCCTATACTTTATTTAGATGAAAGGTATGGCAATTTTTTTTACATTTCCTTTTCCTTATAGTTATAAATACAATTTTTAAAAGTCTTATAACTTTTATTTTTAAAAGCAAAAAAAAAAGAACTATAAAAAACATTTTTAACCACACCTTTAGTCTAAATAGATAATAGACAATCTGTTAAAATGGGAAGCAAAATGTGGGCATAGTATAATAGAAATGGCCAAAAATATCAGAGACCCAGCTAGTGTAGTAAATGTGGTTAGAGTTAGAACCTACTACTCTGGTACTTAAGACCCAAGTCTGATGCGCCGGTACAGCAAATTATATTGTTGTTACATTGCCGCGTTACCGGTCCCAGCGTACAATCACCTGACATGCGTATCTACTATTACAAGTAATGAGTAAAATATAGGTACTATGCAGCATCCTCTAAGCAAAAAAACTGTTATCATATTGTTTGTAAATATTTACAAATAATATTTTATAATAAATACGAAGTTTATTATGAAAGCGTATTAAATATTATATTATGCAGATTGTAGGTACGTATGATACGTTTATTATTTTTTATGCATTTTATGCGTTGTTTAAGTGGCCAACCATGATTGGTGCGATTTTTTGGATCTACCTCTGTTCGTTAGGTGGCAATTATCCGCTAGAACTCACTGCGATTTGCTAGGAGGGAGGGAAGGCTGTAGTTGTCTAGACTCGGTAAACTCCAGTGTAGCCACTGAGAACTCGGTCATCAGCCAACAAGCTATCAAACAATGGCCAGTGTAATAATAATACATCAAATTACTTAAGTCACACTTTCTTTTAGTCAACTTCAATATAAAATTAAGTCAGCAGTTAAAAATTGATGTAAAATAATATATATTTACCGATGATATTTCTATATCACTGTATACATATTTTTATTTTAAAATTGCCTATAAGAGATGCATAACCTAGGTACAGTTTCCCAGAACAAGTATGGGAAATGGGGTAAATACTCCAGGAATTTTGAAAAGAGGTTCCAACCACCCCCTCCCCTTTAATTCGGCTTGGGTGTGGGTAGGTGGTACTTTCAAACACGGTTTACCACTGTGATTTAATAAAGGCGTCACTGTCCAGGTACAAGCACAAAAAATACATTAATATACGTATATAATTATACATAATATAATATAATAGGTATGTGTTGTACATAGTAGATAGTATTTAATAGATTTTTTTTAATTGGAACTTATTTAATAATAATAATAGGTGTTTTTGCCAATACAACATTTTACAGTTCAACAGAAATACATAAGTGTAGTGAGTTAATTAACAACACTAAAAAAAATATAATACAAAAAGTATGACAGTAAACAGTTCAGATTAAATTATATTGACTCACTTCTAAAAGCTAAAGCTTGTGCTAAGAAGTAAGTTTCTTATAACATAAAAAAAAATGTTAACAGAAATTACTCAACTATTTCATGAATAACACATACAAATTAAATAATAAAAGAAAGGAACACATTCATAAATAATAGCTAAATGTAACATTATCAAACTGATTATGTTTAATACATAATTTTAAGGAGTTTACATTATTGAAATTAAAAAAAATTTAATTTTTAATTTTTGACACAACAATGTACATTTATAAAAAGGACTCTGAGAGGTTGCAGTCTTATGAAATTTATTAGAATTAAGTTAATTTCTAGTATTATAATTATGCTCAATAGTATTTAAGCAATATCTGTATTTATAAACATTAAACAACTAACAGCAAAGATCTATAGTATAGATTGGATAGGATTTGGACATCTAAGTCAAAATATAACTGATTTGTTGAATAAAAATATGACTTCGAAATAATTACTTTTATTAAACCATTAATAGTTGCCTGTAGAGGAGTTAAAAATAGTCTTTGTAAGTGCCACCCCAAAAGGGCAGTCTATAATAGACCAATGATTACACTAATGACATATATATATTTCTCATATGTTTATTTGTTTATTGAAAAAAAATATATTTTAAGCTCTGAAAGTTTTAACACAATTTCTTGATAGGTTAAACTACTACACAGTATACAGTATATAATATATATTTAAGTTAAACGTATTGGGCTGGGCTGGACCGTATAGGTATTTAAAAGAAATTAATCGGGCCGGGCCGAGCCGGACTGTATATCCAAGTGAAACAAATCGGGCCGGGCCGGGTATCATTAGTAAAATTGTATTTTGGACGGGCTTCAAAAATTAGGCCCGTGAAGGGCTCTAGTGTCTTAATGAAACAGTGCCACAGTTGTGATACTTTAATGCATATATTATTGGGTAACTATCGTCTATCATTAATATTATGCAAATATTATTAATTATTTGGTTTTCAGAGTAAACTACATTGAAGAATGAAGATTATAATAATATGTTGATGTGAGTTAAGATTAGGTATTTATGTTTTAATAAGTAATATGTTAACAAAAGCGGCTACAGTTTGTGTTATATAAATTATAAAGTATAAAAATAATATTTGAAATAAAAATTGGGCTAGGTAGCGAGTGGAGCGAGCTCCTTTTTTTTATATATACTTAAAAGTGTTAAAGTTATAGGGACAGTCATTATTGTGCCCTAGCCAATCAAATATTGAAATGACGCCCCTGAGTTATCATACAATAACCAGAACTAAAGAGAGAGAAAAATAATAAATTATACATCCTATTCGAATAGTTATAGAGAAAAGATATCAGTTTCAGAAGAAACCTTTGAAATACTCCATCTTTAAGGACTAAAATCTCAGCATCAATATTTAACCAAATAAATGAATAACCTTTTTTTTAGCAACAGCTCTTGTTTTCCCATACAATTGACTTTTATACTTAGTAAGATTTGTATTAATATACGGATGTTTTCCTTTTGGCCACTTTGAGTTCATATCTGATAAAACAAGAGTCTTATTGTTTTACAGCTTTTAATCAAAGAGTACGGCATAGTAGGTTGAGAGATTTTAGATACAATTTTCTTTTGACCATTAATCTCAAATGGAACGCAATGAGCTTCTTCGACATTTATAATAGAAACTAGAATTTTAATTAATTTGCTTTACTTGATACAATTTCTTTACACGATTCATCAGGAGATGACAGTATACCTTACATTTTAATTGTAGAATTTAAACTCATTGACTAAGTTGTTTGTTATTGATAACGAGTGTTTCTTTATCTTTAAGCAATTCTTTCATTTCACTTACAATTTTCGTAACTGTTGAATTAAAGTCATCAAATTTAATGCTCACACATTTCACAGACATCCAGTTCTTGGATAGTAGTAGGCGATTGTGATGATTTGATATTTTTATTGTCACAAACCCAACCTATTTTTCAGGTACCACGTTCCCATTTTCTTCTAGAATTGTTCGATAATTTTTTGTGTGCAGCTTCATTAAGGCATTAACGATAAAAGTCAAAATCTTACATTGAGAACAGACAATTTGATCATCAACAAAGTGATATTATCACTGCACTTAGAACAGTTGGACATTTAAAAAATTTAATATTATACCTAAGATAATAATATTATATAGGGTACCTAATGTTAAATAACGATAGGGCGCACAACTGCAGACACTACAACACGCGAACGCGGCTGAAATTAAACTGTTATTTAAAAATAATATTTAATATTTATGTTTTGCAGATGATTACTGTACATTGTCATCGAGATTTCACAACATTTGCTGAGCAAAGACTATATAAAAAAAATAATAAATACACAGCCATCATTTTTATGATACACTGTATTGTAAAAATGTATTTTTTTTTAATTAAATAAATATTTTGGCAGTTGTAAAATGTTCTGTGTTTGTTTTTCCAATTCTAAAAAATCTTCTCATATCTTTATAACATTATTTAATCAATACGTTAAGTCGCATATTTTTAAGTTGACTTATTTAGGTAACTATTAACTTATTTTTGTACATTAATCATTCATCTTAAATGTGACAGTACCTATCAATAAGTTTTAGTTATTGTAAGTTTGAAGTATTTTATGACACGTTTTAAATGGTGAAAACAATACAAATTTATGAGCTCATTTATTATTATTGCGTTCCATCAACGATCTTGCATGGTCTACAATAGTTTTAAAAAAAAATTTGATACTGTAAAATCATAATATTATAGCCTATAGGTATAAATCGTCATATTCACATATACAAATTTTAATTGTAATATAATATCATAGGTATAATATTCGTCGATCACAATCATATTAATTTAATTTTGTCCATATTTATATTTATTGGCCAATATGTTAACATAATCTTTAATCGTGATTTCATTATTATTTTACTATTCTGATTATAATTATTAATTATTATTAGTTTTTTTAAAAAATTTAAAAATATTATCAAAATTAAAAATAAATTTGAAAACCACTAAAAAAATGTTAAAGCAAAAAGTAACATGATTTGAGGTCTGGGACGCAATTCGTTCAAAAAGGTCGGTTTACCTGACTTGGTAGACAATTTGTGTAATATGTATGTAGTTATACAATTGACTTGTTTATTTTAATAATAATAATAACTAATTATTTTTTGACTTTGTCGGAATAGGTTTATGTCTAAAACCTGCTTTGTGATGATGTCCTCTTTAATTAAAAAAAATCTGAGTGAAGATTGAAGAAGTACCTAGTTTCAAAACCAACCCGTAACAAAGATTCCAATTTCACTTTTTTATGTATAGGTATAAGATAGATGTAATATGTTAAAAAGGAATATATCGGTGGGTATATCTCAGTTTCTCAAACTCATTGACATCAGCGTCTAGCAAATGTTTTTGTGCAAAAATTCTTTGTAGATATTTAGGTATTACAAATTTTACATAATGTGTACATTCAGGTAGTATAATAAATCTGATGATCAATAGTCTCTAACTTTCTAAATTTTAAAGTAACTGCAACTCAATGTCACATGTGAGTGTTGCGTACTTAGAGTCCAACTTTTTTTATTAAACAGTTTTTTTTTCAATTAAGGAGGACATCACAAGGCAGGTTTTGGACATACATTTATTCCGATAAAGTCAATAAATAATTCAAAGAAACCTGTAAATTGTATAAATACATACATATCGGTACACACGAATTCAGGTAAACCAACTTTTTTGAACGAATTGCGTCCTGAACGCATACCTATGATAATATTATGATTTCACAGTTTGAATTTTTTCTATAATCTGACATCTTTATTATTTCAATATCACTTTAGGAATCACTTAACTACAGATAAAAAGGTAACATGAATTGCGTCCGCAATTCGTTCAAAAAGATTCGTTTACCTGTTTTGGTACGCAATTCGTTCCATAAATATTATATTGTGCGGCACGGCGCGGTGGTCGCGGGTTTCCAGCTACCTGTAACCAGACCTTTTTGTCCGTCAGATACATACAAAACAACCAGATAGGCGACTACGGGATAATATTGAAGGTAACAGTCATAATATATTAATATGGCATCAACAGGTTGCCATATTGCATGGTAATAAACATATTGATAATATACATGTAGGGGGAAGAAGTGGCAGAGTGGATAACGCGTCGGTTGCAACGCGCACCGTTGCCGATTCGAACCCCTGTCACGGTCGGCACTTCTCTCCGGGCAGTCACGGTATGTGGGGGGAGAGGTCACCATCCCCCACCCCCACACGGGCACGGCAAAAACCTGCTTGTGTCCACTAGAAATTCTGCCAAACAAACACACACGTGTTCCATAACCCTACAATCACAAATCCCTACAATACCACAACCTACAGTTATAATGGCCTCAGTTGCCGAAGCTAAAAAAAAAAATTAAAAATATATATACATGTATTCGTAATATAGACATATTATATCGTAATAAATATGTATGGGTATCTTATCTATTGAGTTATCCTGTAAGCATTACCCTGTTGCCATAATTCGTCAACATGGCCTCACGACTTCAACGTTAATGCGAGAATATAATATGCAGTCTGCTATCTAGTTGTTTTACATGTCTATGGTTAAATATTATAATATTATGTACGATATCGGCGTGTAGATATGAATGAATTGTTCCGAAAAGATTATTTATTTATGTAGGGGTGCTGCGGGAGAAATGCGAAAGCTGCCGTCGTCGGTACCATACGGTAAAAAAAAAATATTATAGAGGAACACCGTACACTGGGTCAATATATAAGTGAAGGTACAATTTTATATTATTATCATAGAATAATTTAAATAAAAAAACGTATCCAGTCGACATGGAAAGAAATATATAATATACATACGTTTACACACGCTCTTTATCCTGTAAACAGCAACGCATTGGAATTTAGAATTATTTTATAGTATGCTTGGGTACACGACGATAATGCTGTATTGCAGTCGTACTTCGGTTATAGTGCAATAACATTATATTTATCGTCACAGTATCTTTATTTGTGGAATGTGGATACAAGGTCCAGGACATAGTGTGTCGATCCCTTCTTCGAGGAGGCCATACAATGGGTACAAGACAAGTATAAATTTTTTTTTTTTTTTAATTGATCCTGAGCCCGGCAACTGTGGCCATTAGCTATTAGTAGGTACTGTAGGTTTTTGTATTGGTGGTTTGTAGGTTTTTGGAACGGTAGGGGGAACACGTGTGTGTAGTATAAATTATATGGCTGGTTTCCCGGTATTTATGGCTTTAGTAGTATAGTCTATAGGTACCCAGTCCTCGGTCGTTCATATTATATTAGTATTCAATATAATATATGTTCAAACCCTCTTAAGGCACGTACAATCTGCGCGTCGATTGTGGGAGGCGATTTTAAGTGAATATTATTAGAGGCTGAATTTTAACCTTAGCTAGACATTTCAACAGTATAAAATATAAATGTATAAAATAACTACTCTACGACGGTACCTACATCTAAATGCTGCACCTTCTACGGTCGTTTATTTTGTTTTACAATATTAAGTATATACTCAAAGATCTCAGTTTGTATGATACAAGTGGTATAAAATGATTGTATACATGTGATATAATAAAAATATTATTGAATATCATTAGAATATAAATTTGGTATTTAAGAATATATTTTTATATGAATTGTAATTGCAATATTTTTAATTAAAAATATTACTTGTCATTACAATAGCAGGTATATTAGAATTGCTTGGATCGATGAATATTAGTTACCTCCAAAAATGTACGAATTGGCCCATTCTTGTCGTAAATAAAAATGTTAATAAACACTAGTTGCCTTCGATGAGGTTAGTTTCCCCCCTAGGAAGAACTTCGTACTAAAATTATAAATATTTAGAATTATTAAAAAAATGTTTTATTATTATTATAAAATTATCAGTCTTAAATATATATAATATTTTAATATCTTATACATACATACATTATAATATTATATTATACTGTATATTAAACATATATAACACACGTATAGTGTATACATAATATATTATTGTGTAATAACGTTATATATACTCTATCCATCAAGAGAAATCGACGGTTCTGAGCATAGACGCACACTGGGTCTTACTTGGGAGTGCTAAAATGTTTTATCTCAAAGTGACCAGTGGGGCCGCCCCCCCCCCCCACATGGTTATACACACCTGTCATAAATTAATTTAATTTTAAATAAAATTATAAATTACTACGTTAAAAAAAATCGGAGTAGTGAACCAGACTTTCAATAAAGAATCTTTTTTTGGCCGATATACTACAGCGAATATTATACATTCTTTGACTAACAAAGCATACAATCAGGGTCATAAATATTCTCACTACTTTCTTCATTTTTGTTGTATTCGATTTAAATATACTAAACATATTTAAACAGGAAATATAATATGTCCGTGGCATGAGTGCATTACCAATACTAACTGGAATAAACTCATTATTATAAACTCAAATATGGACTTTAAACAATATTTATGACTCAAAATAATTGTGGGGTGCTAATTAAGGACTTGGGGTGCTAAGTACCCCTTGGCACCCCCGTATGCTCGCCAATAGTTCTGAGCATCCCTCCGCGTCACTCTTCTATGGAAACTGATTCACCTATGGCAGGGCGTGTCGAGTGGGGAAACGAGGTTTGGTCGGTGTGCTGTAGAGTTAAGAAATATCAGTTTAACACTCTAAAATATATTAAATACATTTATACAAATAGTAGCAATACAATTATAAAAACGATAATAATACAAAAATGTATTAATAAAAAAAAAATGTGATAATATTATATACATTTATAAATATACTATATTATAAAAGTAATGAGTGGTATGCATGGTTCATAAACTGTTAGTATATGTAGTAGTTACAATAATATTGCTATAATATCATTTTTGTTGTTATTACTTATTTAATATCAAGTGATTGCTCGCTATTATTTTAGGTCACAAAAATGTCAAATTTGGTTGATAATTTATACAAAATTATAAGGACAATTATAGGTTACCGACTCATTTCATTGAACTAATTAGAAATATTGCATTGAGCATATCAATTTTCAGAATATACTTGACGGGCCGATGAATAGTAGTCAAAATTATTATAACTAATCTAAAACAACAGCTAACTGAACTAAATAGCGAAAATAGTCATGCAAATACATGCTTACTGCACAAACAATTTGTAATATTTTAAATGTGGAAGAATCACTGACATGTGTACGTACTGTCTGAACGAAATAATATAAGATTTTCGTTGACTGCGGCGCCAGTCGCCAGTACCACCTTACAAAACGTATAGAAACACAA